ACTGTTTTCAACATTGATAATAATCAGAAATGTTTCTTGAGCAGCAAATCAGCATATTAGAATGATTTCTGAAGATCATGTGACACTGAAGACTGGAGTAATGATGCTGAAAATACAGCTGTGCATCAGAAATATATTACAGTTTAACAGATATTCACATAGAAAACAACTGTTTTACATTGTAATAATATTTCATAATTTTTACTATAGTTTTGATCAAATAAATGCAGCCTTGGTGAGCAGAAGAGACTTCTTTAAAACATAAAAAAATCTTACTGACCTAGTGCAGTAAACATAGAGATTTCATTTATTTAATGTTTTTTTATGTGTATATATATATATATATAAAAATACATTATTAATGCATGTCAGGTGTAATAGATCAGTCTTTCCTCTCAGGAGGTGGTTTGGGTTTGTTGTGACCGGCTGTGCGTCTCACCCTGAAGCTCCAGACAATATGAGAGGTTAATCTCCTGTCAGAAACACACACACACACACACGCACGCGCACACACACACACACACACACACACACACACACACACACAGCGCAGATGTGCTGCATTTGCATCTTAACAGAGACAGAAAGTGAGAATGAGACGAGAACTGCTGCTGTCAGCCGTCTCTCTCTCTCTCTCTGTGTGTGTGTGACAGCTGCGTTTAAGAAGGCGTCCACTGAGTGCGCTCAGGTCTCTTTTCGTTTGGTCTCTCGTCCTTCACTCTGGTTCAGTGGTGGCGGCAGGTCTCTCTCTCTCTCTCTCTGCATCACGCTGTTCTTCTCGTTTAACAGCGCTGAGTGTGTATCAGAGCGCCAGAGAAACCAATGCAGCGGCACGCTCAGCTCAGAGACACACACCGCGATGCAGTACAGGTACGACACACACACACCTGCTTCAGTAGTTTTCCTCGTGGTGTGTGTCTCTGATCATACATCCATTTGTATGTCATGTTTTCCATGTCTGTAGCTCAGAAGCTGTCTCATTAGCTCCGCCCACCGTCACGCCCCCTCGTTAAGAGCTGACACTGATGGCCAGTTAACTCCACTGATTATACAGAGTTGAACTCTGAAAGTCTTTTGTTTATAATGAATGTATTTATATTTAAATGTCATTGATGAAAGTGAGAGACCAGAGAGGTGAATTTACATCACGACTGACCTTCATCACTCTTCATCTGCCTCTCTCTCTCTCGTTCCTCTCCTCATCTCTGTCTCACTCTGTTTTCTGCTCGTCGGTTGTCTGAGTTCAGAGATTGTGTAATGCGAACAAATGCGCACACAGCAAAATGTCACTCATTCTTTCAGTGGTGATCAATACACTGATTCAATCTGTGTGTGTGTGTGTGCGTGTGTGTGTATGTGTGTGTCTGTCTGTCTGTCTGTGTGTGTGCGTGTGTGTGTGTCTGTCTGTCTGTCTCTGTGTGTGTGTGTGAGTGTGTGTGTGTGTGTGTCTGTGAGTGTGTGTGTCTGTCTGTGTGTGTACTGGTTTATATATCCTGGTGTGGACTTAAACCTGACTACACACAGACTCATGGGGACTCGTGTCACGGTGCGGACCTAAATTGTGGTCCCCACAGGTACAAAAGCTTATAAATCATACAGAATGAAGTTTTTTGAAAATCTGAAATAGCAGAAAGTTTCCTGTGAGGGGTAGGTTTAGGTGTAGGGTTGGTGTAGGGCAATAGAACATACGATCTGTACAGTAGAAAAACCATTACGCCTATGCAGGGCCGCATTAAGACCTCACTAAGGTCTTAATAAGAGCCCCGGGGCTATGACTTATTGCAGGGCCCCCCATCACAATAATGATATATATAGCTTAAAATAGGATTTTTATCCAAT